GTGAAAGCCGACGAGATAAATAGCACAGGCCCGACGCTCTTTTGGTATTTGGCAAGAACAACACCGCAAAGCCCCGAGAAGACTGGTGATACGATTGTGAAAGGAAGGAGGTCGATACCGGCTCTCTCAGCAGTAATTCCATTAACAGCCTGGAATCGTTGCGGGAGAAGTATTATTGCCGCATAGAAGCAACCCCCCATGGTGAACATGATTCTAGAAGGCAAAATGAGTTGACTGTGTATGATGGATGATTGAAAGGCCACCAACATGATTTTAAGGCACAGCGCCGGAATCTTGAGAAGACCGATGGGAAGCATTGGCTCTTGCTTTCCCTGTTTTTGGACGCGTAGTTCATAAAAGCCGAAGGCAAAAAGGCCGATACCACTCCCGACGAGAGTCCCAATTATAACGCTGCTTTTCCATGGGTATGCTTGTCCACCCTCTTCTAGTGCGAAGACTAGTAGAATGGGCCAAGCGAGTGAGAGAAGGCCACCGATTACATCGATACGCCTCAATTTCTCTTTCTCGATGATCTTCTCGCCTAGATTCGGGATTGCAGGGACAAGAATTAACAGGGAAATCGCAATTCCAGGACCGCTATGATAGAAGTATCAGCGATTTAGAGGCCGGATACGTATATAAAGTTGAATTGCCATACTTAAGGAAGAAGACCCATCGCCATGTAGTGTGGTCAACAATTGCGCCCCCAAGAATTGGACCCAAGAGGCTCGCCATAGCAAACACAGAAGTCATGGCCCCCATATAGAGTGGCATTTTCTCGGCCGTCCCGATTTTGCCAATGATGACGAAGACGATCGAATATATGCCGGAGCCACCAATTCCCTGTAGAGCACGAAAGATGATGCTGGGATACGGTTAGCATTTGTCTACTGGTGTTTCCTTGGAGGTTTCATACAGCTGTGTCATGGTCTGAGCGGCACCACAAGCCATTGAAAAGACGAGAAAGATGCACTGTGCCATAATGAGCAAGCTCTTTTGTCCGAAAATATCGGTCAATTTGGAAAAGAGAATTAGAAATCCTGGTTGAAAGGTAAGAGATTAGTAAACTATCATTTTTATTCCAAATCACAGATGTTATATACCATTGTAGGTAAGGAGATAGGCGACGACAATCCATGTCGACCTGGATAGATCCTGCAAGTCGCTTGATATTGTCTGAAGACTTGTTGAAACGATCGTGGTCTCTAAGGCGGAGAGAAAGAGACAAGTCCACAAGCTACACCAGTACGTAGCTCATCAGTATTTGAATGAGGGAACTGACAAGTGACACGAACCCTCCCATTATGAAGCAAATTCGCCAAGTCCCAATTTTGGCGCCATCGATATGGGCGGCCCGCTTGGGCCGATTTTGCTCAATAGCCCGAGTTTCCTCACAAGGAGATTGGGTTAGATGTTGGATAACATTGCGGTCCATTTTTGACAGAAAATGGGACCATCGAACCTGTTCTCAAAGTGGCCCTTGAAGAATCAGAGGAAAGGGACCACATGGGAACATGGTAAGATCACAAGGAGAATAAGCCTCTCTTACACGGAAGCTTCCGGCTGGAATCCCTGCATCGTATGAGCACGGATCCACAATCCTTCCATGACTTTACCCAGAATCTCATCTCAGCTCTCATCCTCCTTCTTTCACGGGCTTGGGGGCCGTCTCCCTTGTCCGAACCAAAGCCGCCGAGCTCATATCTCCACTTTTTGATTCCCGCCGAGTGGTGTGCCAATAAACCGCCCCCAAACTATACCGATCAAGCAGGACAGGGTTAAAAAAACATGTCTGAAGAGAGTTTTGAATCGAGGGAGGAATCTCCATAGCCGGTTCATCTTTTTTCTACATTAACAGATGGAGCCTGATCAATCCGCCTGCCCAGCCCCCCTTCGAGTAGCTATTATAGGTGCTGGTATTGGGGGCCTGGTTCTTGCCCAGTTACTACGCAATGACGATAGATTCGATGTGACCGTCTATGAGCGTGGGTCTAGAGAAGCTGAGGGTAACAGCCTCACTGGATTCCGGATACTGGTCCTGCCTGAGATTTTTGAATCGATGAGAGAGAAGATGGAGCCAGAAGTGCGTGATCTACTTGGGAAGGCCGTCGGAGAGTCGAAGGCCTATGGAAACCGAGTATGCCTTATGGATCAGGCCTGCAGTATCAAGTTTCGCAATGATACAGCTTTGTCGCTCTCAGCGATCTCAGTGTCTAGATGGAAACTCCGCAATGCCTTGCTTCACGGGTCTGGAGACTTGGTTAGATTCAGCAAGTCCTATCGGTCATATGAGCAGGGGGAAAGCACTATCAAAGCCTATTTCGCTGATGGCGAGACAATAGAATGCGATCTCCTTGTCGGGGCCGACGGGGCAGGATCTCAAGTCAGAAAGCAACTTCTACCGAATAGCACAAGGAGTGACAGTGGTATTACTATCATTTACTTCAAGGCCCCTTTCACTCCGGAGACTGAGGCTATGATCCCTTGGGAATCTGGTGGGATGGTGAGTATTTCCGTTTTGGTACTTAGCATACTTCAATCGAATCTGATATCCGTAAACTCAGGTTTTGACTCCCAGGCAATCTATGGTCATTTCTTACTTCAAGAACTCGGAAAGGCCATACGGCCCATACAATCTCGAAACAATCAACCCGGATGATTCATTTCTCATGATTGGCCTTGGATGCTACTCAAACGAATTTCAACACCAATCGAAGCCTCCAGGCAAGATGACACCGGAGGAGCTAAAAGATGAATGTCTTGCCCGAGCGCGAGAATGGCACCCTCTGCTTCGATCGCTGATTGCGATTACTGTGCCAAGCTCCGTCTTTGTCTCTTATCTGAAGACCCAAGATCCGATAAGTCCCTGGGAATCTGGACGAGTGACCATGTTGGGGGATGCCGCTCACAGGTTTGCAATACGATTGAATATCTAGGGGAATTGAGGACTGACACAAATCCAGCATGACCCCATACCTTGGAAGAGGAGCCACAAGCGCTATATCAGATGCCGTGGCGCTTGCTGAAACTCTCCAGTCCGAGGATCGCGCACTAGTAACAAGACTTGCGGCCTATGAGAGTTCCATGCTTCAAAGAGGGTTTGCGGCAGCCAAGAGTAGCATGCTTGTTCATAATCTCGTCTTCACGGCCGGAAACGGTCAATGGCTAGCCCGACTGCGAAATTTGGTACTGCGTCTTGCAGATTGGTGGCTGGCTCATCCGAAGAAGTCGCCTGACCCATTTCCAGGTATGAAATCCATCCAGTGTGTAAGGGACACAACTGATTGATCAATAGTCAGCTACAGTGAGATAACAAACAAGATAACTTAGGTCAAATTAGAAGTTCAATGAAAGCCCGTGCTTTTTCCGAAATTAAGTATTTGAAGGATAAATTACAAGAGTAGTCGGCCGAGTATACGACCTATATTGCTCACGTAGAACTTTAACAATCTGATTTACTCATCTGGCTGAAGATTATATAAGGGATGCTGTAAGATAACACTCCGATATTCTTTTGGATGTCCGTTATAGAACCTTTTCTTCTCGGTGTTATAACTTCTAAGGATAATGAAAAGGAGCACAGAATATACTTTAACATATAGCCGGGGATATCGTCTAAAGAAATATAGGTATTCTAGTAGTCGAAAGAGCATGGCCTGTACATTCCAAATCCCCGATTCAGATGCAATGCGACTCTAATCATTATCAGGGATGAGTTGGAAATATCTTATTGCGCAGTCAGGGCATGGTCAATTGCTCGTCGAATAAGTGCGGTCATCATCTGCACGGTACTTGGCGCCCGTGGCACATCGTGTCCACCCCCATGGTCCAGCTCTACCCTCCGGCTCGGATCACACATGTCTCGTAGTCTCAGACTGAGACCGAGCGTTTCATCTTTCGAGCCGTAAATATGAGCAGTGGGTATGTTGATGGTGAGACCGGCCTTGTTGACCTTTTCTGGTATGAAGACGTTCCAAAACTCGTCAGACATGGGCTCATGACCTGGGACATAGGGACCCAGCCAAGGTTCAGTGAGTGATTCCATCTCCACAATCAAGGAAAGGTCCGTAGCGACATCTGGTGGCTGCCGACATTTGGGGACAAGAAGCGGGGCGCCAGAGCAGATAAAGACCGCAAGCTTGAACAGGTTTGGACCAAATGGATTTCTTCTTTGATGATCCATAATAACGGAGGCTAGCAAGCTGCCCCCTTGGGAAAATCCAAGACAGGCATCGAAGGGCCCCTCCATCTCAATAAAGTCCATTAAATCGGCCTTTGCCTCTTCAAGGGTATGACCGCCGAATCCTGGTGAATACCAGGTAAAAAAAGGGCCTGGGAACAGGTTTTGGATTTCTATGATGTTAGTCCTGGACACATATGGACACATATGGACACATAGAGGGCATACCTGAGACTGGCTCGACATCCAGGAACCCATTGACGAATTCGAATTTCTCACTAGAACCCAATGCTTGACGGATTGGTCCTTTTGTTTTGTGTTAGTGACAATGGTTCCGGGGATGGATCATACTGCCTCCACGAACCAGTTTGAATGTCGAGCACCTAGAACAACGGGTTTTCTGTAAGCTGTCAAACCCATAAGAAGCATCGAAAGACGTGATACAAACATGAGAATTGGTGCCCGCGCCATGTAGGCAAATGAACTTCATTTTGGCGTTGTACAGCTGCGAGCCGAGTCAGTTACCTACAAAAAGAACATGCACGGGGTATTATTATGGTCGTCAAGTCCCATCCTGCTCGGAGAGTTCTAAAATTAGACCAAATTAAAACAAATCACTTTCTATAATCTTAACAGAAGAGAATTGACCCCCCGAGGACGCATATTCCGCCGCTCGGAAGGTTCACACGAACCCGCCGCTTGCGCCAGAAACCTGCCGGGAGGCACAAAAAATATCCGACGTATGCAGGGTTTCATACATATGTATATATGGCTTGTACACGTTGAAAGGGACACTCCCCGAAGCATACTATTCCTGAAGATGCCTTTTGTGACTGATGCCGATTACCGCCAGCCAGATGCTCTTATTCGGAGTATTCTGCAACAGGACAAGTCCATGCCAATTGCTATTGTGGGCATGGCTTGTCGCTTTCCCGGAGATGCTACCAACCCTGATAAGCTCTGGAAACTAGTTGCTGAGAAGCAAGCAGCTTGGAGTGAGATCCCTAAGGATCGAATGAACGTTGATGCTTTTTATCATCCAGATGCCGAACGAGCTGGAAATGTACGTTTTCGGAGTCCTAGCCAGTCAAAGATTGTCCTAGCTAACATTATTTGGCAAAAAGATGAATGCTCGAGGAGGGCATTTCCTGAAACAGGGCCTTGGGGCTTTCGATGCCTCGTTCTTTTCAATTTCGCCCACTGAAGCGAAAAGTATGGACCCGCAGCAGCGAATCCTCCTAGAAACTGTCTACGAGGCTATGGAAAGTGGCGGTATGACACTTGAGGCTGTCGCAAACACCATGACAAGTTGCTACGTGGGCTGCTTCTCACACGATTACTATGATATGGGCGACCGCGACGCGGAGATTGCACCAATTCATTCTTCCACTGGTAACTCATCATCGATCTTATCCAACCGTATCAGTTACTTCTACAACCTCAAAGGTCCGAGTTTGACCATGGATACCGCTTGCAGCAGTGGTTTAATTGCTATGCATCTGGCGTGTCAAAGTCTGCGTGCTGGTGAAAGCAAACAGGCCGTGGTCGGCGCCACCAACCTCATGTTTATGCCGGATGTATTTTCGACCATGTCGAATCTACATTTCCTCAGTCCCGACTCAATCTGTTACAGCTATGACAACCGTGCCAATGGCTATTCTCGGGGTGAGGCAGTTACTGCTGTGATCCTCAAGCCACTTGAAGACGCGATTCGTGATAATGACTCCATTCGTGCGGTGGTGCGGAGCAGCGCCTGCAACCAGGATGGAAGGACTTTCGGTATTACTCAGCCATCGCCAGATGCTCAACAGGAACTTATCCGAACGGCATACCGTGATGCTGGTCTTGAATTTGACCAAACCGATTATTTTGAAGCCCATGGCACAGGAACCCAGGCTGGTGACCCTATTGAGTAAGTCCCATTGCATACAGAAGTTCTGAGCGAGTTATTTATATTGACCGCTGCGTTCCAGGTCCAGCGCTATAGGCGCTACACTTGGGAAGAGCCGTCCTCTGGATGAGAATGGAAAGAAGATGCCCTTGTACGTTGGCAGTGTGAAGACCAACATTGGCCATACAGAGGGTGCTAGTGGTCTTGCTGGTCTTATCAAAGCTGTCATTGCTCTTGAGAGAGGTGTAATTCCTCCCAATATCCGATTTGAATCGCCTAATCCCAAGATTGACTTTGAAGCATGGAATCTTGAGGTCCCTACGGAAGTGATGCCTTGGCCTCGTGAAGGCCAACGTCGTGCAAGTGTAAACTCATTCGGCTTCGGTGGATCCAACAGTCATGTTATTATTGACGATGCTTATCATTACCTCCTCAGCCGTGGCCTACGAGCTGGTCACCGAACCTCCCCGAAGACTATTCTGGATGTCAATCGTACTATCCCCAGCGGCAATGAGAGCCAGGGAGCTCTCACGCTCCGAGGAAATGGATTCATTAGCAAGAAAAGCAGATTCAATAGCGGCTATTCCGAAAGTCTCACCAGCCACGTCATTGAAGCAAATGACCGCTACCGCATCTTCATGTGGTCAACTCATGAAGAGAGCATCGGAGCCCTGAACAATACTGCTTACGCCGAGCACCTTACTGAACGTCAGATCACTGACGAAGAAGCTTTTCTGGATAACCTGGCTTACACCCAATGTGTCCGCCGATCCTTACTGGAATGGCGATCATTCCTCGTCGCAAAATCCATATCTGATTTGAAAGACAAGATCCTGAACACTCACCAAAAGCCTGTCCGAGCGCCGACGAAAGCTCAAAAGCTGGGATTTGTTTTCACCGGCCAAGGAGCCCAGTGGTATGCTATGGGTCGTGAGCTCAGTCGATACTCTATTTTCCATTCCCGCATCTTGGAATCAGATCTGTTCATCACAAAGCTGGGTGCCGAATGGTCAGCGATAGAGGAGCTAGAGAAAAGCGAGAAGGATTCACGAATCAACGAATCTCTCTTTAGCCAGACTCTCTGCACGGTCATTCAGATGGCTCTAGTCGATCTCCTTGCTAGCTGGGGTATCCGCCCTCACAAAGTCATTGGGCATTCTAGTGGTGAGATTGCCGCGGCTTATGCTGCTGGTATCTTACCAGCGGAGTCAGCTATTAAGGCTGCATACTTCCGTGGTGTGTACTCTGGTGCGAAGCGACTGCTGTCCGCCAATGGAGGCATGATGGCCGTCGGACTTTCGGAGGAGGAGGCCGAGAAGAAGATTGCCGCACTAGACCCAGCCATTGGAAAGGCAGTTGTGGCCTGTGTCAATAGTCCCACCAGTGTCACAATCTCTGGCGATCGCCCCGCGCTTGACAGTCTTGGTCAGTCGCTACAAGACGAGGGAATCTTCGCCCGGCTCCTCAAGGTCAGCACCGCGTACCACTCACACCACATGGACATGGCCGCTGACGACTATGCGCGATCCATTGCTGATATGGAAGTTAACCCTGTCTCCGACGTCGAGATGTTTTCTACTGTTACTGGAGCGCTTGTAACGGCGACTGATGTCCTGGGACCTGAGTACTGGCGCAAGAATATGGTGTCTTGCGTTCGTTTCAACGATGGTCTGCAGTCCCTATGTACATCCCAGCCCAGTGGTAAGAGAGCACGCCGTCGTGCTGGGGTGACCGTCGACATACTTATGGAGGTTGGTCCTCACGCCGCTCTCGCTGGCCCCGTCAAGCAAATCCTCCGTGTCCCTGCGCTGGAAAAGGCTGAGATCAGTTACCTGTCAGTTCTTTCGCGCGGACAAGATGCCTGTGAGACTGCCCTACAAGGCGCTGCATTTCTCTTTTCCAAGGGTGTACCCGTAAAGCTATCCAAGATCAATGATCCAGACGACGTTGTAAAGCCCCAGGTGATTGTCGACCTCCCCGCTTATTTCTGGAATCATCGCAAGCGACACTGGCATGAATCTCGTCTGGCTTTAGAGCACCGATTCCGTCGTCACGCACGAACAGATTTGCTTGGATACCCCGTGAGCGATTGGAACCCCATGGAGCCGCGTTGGAGGAACTTGCTTAGGCTCCGCGAGCAACCTTGGATCAAGGGTCATTATGTCCAGGGCTCTTACATATACCCAGGAATGGGCTATATTTGCATGGCCATCGAGGCAATGCATCACATGAAGGACTTTCCCGAGTACATTACCCCGGCCGGAGAGTTGGTTGGATACCGCCTGAAGGACATTAAGATCAGCCGCGCATTGGTGATTCCATCCAACGATGAGATGGTAGAGACACTATTCTCCATGCGTCACTATAAAGAAAGTAGCTCAACTTTCTCCGATGTTTGGTATGAGTTCCGCATCTTCTCATACAACTCTGGGACCTGGCTAGAGCATGCCCATGGGCTGATTTCTGCTGTTCACGAAATCAACACGGCTGCACCAACAAACAACTTGCCCTACCTTCCAAGCTTGGAGAAAGTCATGGCCTCGACCAACTTTTCAGGATCTCGCTCGGCCGGGAATATGTACAACCTAATGGCTGAAGTTGGACTGAACTTTGAACACCCTTTCCGGAACATGACTGGCGAGCTCAAGTCCAACCCCGGCGAGGCTCAGGGTGTCGTCACGGTACCCAATACCAAGGAGTTGATGCCTTACAATTTTGAGTACCCTCACCTCATTCATCCTGCTACTATGGATGCTTTTGTTCAAATGATGTTCCCGGCTTTCTTACATGGAAAGAATGCCTGTCCAGCTGCCTTTGTCCCCGTGTCTTTCGAAGAGGTTTTCGTCTCAACTGACATTGCTCGCCGACCTGGAAATACTTTCAAATGTGCTACTACTGCGGTTCCCAATGGTCTTCGAGAATTGAAGACCGAGGTGCTAGTTACCGACGAGACTACCGGTAAACCAGTCGCTGGGTACAAAGGCATGGGTTGCAGCAGACTCGATGCCGCATCTGCCGAAAGTCAGGATGAAAATGCTTCACTTCGTAAGCTGTGCTTCCACTCCACTTGGCAGCCTGATCCTACTTTGATGCCGCGGGAATTTGCCGACCACATGATGTGCGAAATTCTTCCTCGTGTTGAGGACTCATCTCGTGTCTCTAACCTGGAAGCTATTGCCTACTACTTCTACCATAGGGCTCTCCAAAATATCCGTGAAGAGCAGGTATCCACCATGAGACCTCACTTCCGCATGTTCTACGATTATCTGCAGTACCAACGTGATTTGGTGATGGCTCACCAGCTCCCCCACCAGACTGCCGAATGGCAACAACTCGACGACCCTCTCATTGCAGCAAAGATGGAGGCACTTGTTGAACGTCTGCAGCCAACTGATGTGGACTCCGAGATCCTTTGCCGCGTTGGACGGCAGCTGGATAAGATCTTGTTGAGTGAAGCTGACCCACTGGCTATCATGTTAGAAGATGACCGGCTGTATCAGTACTACGGGCGCATGATCCCAACGACCACTCTTCACCAGTATGCCACACTGCTCTCCAATAAGAATCCCAACATGGAAGTTCTAGAGATAGGTGCAGGTACTGGTGGTGCCACAGAGAGTATCCTGGAGGCCATGGGAGGCAACCATGGTCGCTACCCTCGGTTCAAATCGTACACCTTCACCGATATCTCGTCAGGGTTCTTTGAACAAGCTCAGGCAAAGTTCAAAGACTGGGAAGGCTTGATCGACTTCCGTCGTCTCAACATCGAAGAGGACCCTGTTGAGCAAGGCTTCGAGAAGCAGTACGACCTGGTCGTTGCAGCCCTTGTCCTCCATGCTACTGCAAACATTGACAAGACGATCGAGAACACTCGCAAGCTCATGAAGCCAGGTGGTCGCCTTATCATGGTCGAGATCTCCAACCCACTGAACCAAGTTTTCCTGCCTTTCGGCTGCACTGCTGGCTGGTGGATGTCAGAAGAACCCTACCGCAAATGGGGCCCCACCATGAACGAGGACATGTGGCGAGAGGTTTTGAGGCGTCACGGATTCGGCGATTTTGCTTTAGGAGCTCCAAACAATTTGGATGCCAAGGACGAAATAGGCCGTGTGTGGTCATGCGTCGCCGTTGACCCTGCGGTTAAGGAAATGCAAGACCAGGAAGTCACCTCAGTGATCATTATAACTGATGATGTTGTCTCCGACTCATCTGAGGTACTGAGGAAGACGATTGAGCGCGGTGTAAATGAGATTGGTCTTGCTGTACAAACAGTCCCGCTCTCTCGCATTGCGAAAACCCCCCTTGAGAATACATTCTGCGTCTCAATTGCCGAGCTCGATCGCCCTATCATTTGTGATCTGAGTCAATCTGAATTTGATTCATTGCAGCACCTGCGGACAGGCAAAGCCCTGCTGTGGATCTCTGAAGGAGCGAGTGGTACTTCTAAAAATCCTGACCGTGCGCTTTTCCATGGACTTGCACGTACCCTGCGTACCGAGAATGAGAGTCACAAGTTGATCACCGCCGATTTCGCAACGATTGACCGCCAGGAGCCTGAGGTTGCTGCGAACCATGTGATCTGTTTATTCGAGTTTTTATTGAGGGATCCTGACTCTCGGGAATGCGAGTTTTGGTTCGAGCATGGCTGCTGGCAGATTAACCGTGTCATTGGAGTGCCGGAAGTCAATCGTGTGATTCATGACAGTGTCTGGGGAGATGCAGCGCAGCACCAGAAAATCGAGAAACAGCCTTTCTATCAGACGGGTCGGCCATTGAAGCTCAATATCAAGACTCCCGGTCTGCTCGATACCTTGGTGTTTGAGGATGACGCCCGCCTGGCTGAGCCTCTGGCTCCTCACGATGCAGAGGTAGAGGTCAAGGCATCAGGTGTCAACTTCCGAGATATCATGATCAGCACAGGCCAAATGCCTGACACTGCATTGGGCTTTGAATGCTCAGGTATCGTCACTCGCATGGGTTGTGATGTCGAGAACGTCAAAGTTGGCGATCGAGTCACCGTCTGGAGTCGCAACACTTACTGTAACTATCTGCGCAACGATGCCCGAGTGATGCAACGTATCCCAGACGATATGAGTTTCGAGGTTGCTGCTGCTATCCCCATTGTCTTTGCCACCGTTGTATACGGATTTTCAGACATGGCTCGCCTATCCAAGGGCGAGTCGGTGCTTATTCATGCAGCTAGTGGTGGTGTCGGCCAAGCGGCCATAATGTATGCCCAAATGCTCGGTGCAGATGTCTTCGTCACCGTGGGGACTCAGGCTAAACGAGACCTTGTGCGTCGCGAGTTCGGTATCCCTGAGGACCGGATCTTCAACAGCCGTGACCTCAGCTTTGCGCGCCAGATCAAGGAGGCGACAGGTGGACGTGGTGTTGATGTTGTACTGAACAGTCTGGCCGGTGAGGCTCTCAGTTCCACTTGGAGCTGTATCGCTATGTTCGGTCGCTTCATTGAGATTGGCAAAAAAGACATCATTGAGAACCGTCTTTTGGACATGGCTCCGTTCGTTCGCAATGTTAGTTTCCATGCACTTGATTTGAACACAGTGCGCTGGTGCAATGTTCCCCTTGCATCCAGACTCCTGGCTGAGGCTATGGACTTGATTCGATCCAAGAAACTGCGCCCGATTAAAGCGGTGAAGACCTTCACTTTCTCCCAGATCGAAGAGGCATTCCGTTTTATGCAAGCCGGTAAACATGTTGGAAAGGTCGTTGCGGTGCCGAATGAGAATGACATTGTCCCGGTGAGTTCCATGGGTCCTTTTTTTGTCTCGCTTGAATACAAGTCACTAACTTATACCTCCAGGCCTATCCCGTGGCTACCCCGCCTCTCGCTCTGTCCCCAGATGCGTCATATCTGATTGCTGGATTCGGAGGTCTTGGCCAAAGTCTTGCCCGCTGGTTGGCTGAGCACGGCGCCAAAAACCTGATTTTTGCCTCCAGATCCGGAGCCAAGCGACCCGCCATGAAACAGCTTATCAAGGAGCTTGAGGAGCTCGATGTACGCGTTGAACCTCTTTCCGTGGATGTGACTGATGGCCAGGCCCTGAAGTCGGAGCTACAGCGGGTCGCTGCCTTCATGCCACCAATTCGTGGTATGATCCAAGCTGCCATGGTCTTGGACGATCAGATTTTCGAAAACATGTCGCTAGAAAGCTTCAACCGTGCTGTCCGCCCCAAGGTTGACGGTACCTGGAATCTCCACGAAGCCACAATCGGTCAGCCACTGGACTTCTTTGTGATCCTCTCCTCTGCGGTTGGAGTCCTTGGCAACCCTGGCCAAGCAAACTATGGCGCTGGCAACACTTACCAGGATGCTTTGGCAAGCTACCTGCGGTCGATTGGGCGGCCCGCCACCGCTATTGATCTGGGTCTCATGATTGATGTTGGTGCAGTAGCCGAGGAAGAAAGCGGAGTGAAATTGCGCAACCTGAAGCGAAAGGGCTACGTCGGTGTCACCGAAGCCGAACTACTTGCCAGTATGGGGTTGATTATCCAGGGTGCGCAGAAAGAGCATACGTCGGTTATCATTGCTGGCATTGATGCTAGCGAAGGTGGGAGCGAGGTCTCTTGGATGTCGAGCCCGATATTCTCGCATCTGTCCAAGCTGGACATGTTGACCTCCGGCAGCTCGAAAGATCAAACTACGAGATCTACACTTTCTCTGTTGAAGGAGGTTGACAGCTTTACTGATGCTTCTGCCATAGTTCTGGAAGCTATCCGGGCGAAGCTCAGCCGCAACCTGATGATTGATATAGCTGAGTTGGATCCTCACAGACCGACCAGCGCCTTTGGTATCGACAGTCTTATTGCTGTGGAATTACGCAACTGGTTCCAAAAGGATATGAAGGTGGACTTCCCTGTATTTGAAATCTTGCAAGCATCTAGCTTGCAGAGCCTTGCCTTCAAGGTTGCCGAACGAAGTGGTTTCGTTGATGGATCGAAGGAATAAGGTTGACAATTTCACTTGTGGTAATCTGATATCAGTCGTCTATTCAGGAGATCTTTATAGTGGTGGTCATCTGGGAAGTACATATATGTAATTTCTACTTCAAAGAACCATACTCGTCTATATATCCTCATCTAGTCCTCTAGTTTCCCAAATACAGAGCTTTCGGGTGAGTTAAGAACAAAACAAAAAGTATAAGAAAATTGTCACATGCTTCAAAGGAGGTCTCTGGCCTCTGATTTAAGAAGCTTGATTGAAGCTCTCAGTTCCGACATTAGAGTAGTAAAGAGCCTCTCGGATATGTCCTTAGTGACCCTGCCATCCATGCGCCGACTCTGATATTGATGCAGTGCGGACTCCAGGTAGATTAAATGACGGTTGATGACCGTCACAACGACAACAAGTTGCGTTTGCTGGTCCAGACTCATTTCACCCAGTTTCATACTCAGGTTATCTGCAAGAAGCGTGGGATAAGGTCCCGGGTGGCTGTCTGGGGAATTTATTCGACGAGACTGGTGGAAAAGAGTGTTCTGCTGTGTCGTTTGGTGATGTGCATCGGAAAAATGCGGTTCCCGATTTGAGCCAGCGGTCCTGCTTCCATTGGAATCGTAGTGTGAAGACCATGGATGCAGGGCAGATGATATCTCTTTTAATAGCCGCTCGTACGTAGAGAGCAGAAGACACAATGGGGTAATCACGGAAAGAACAAGCGTGCCGTGGTCGAAGCAGTGATCTGCCTGATCTGGCTCTTTCTCTTCGCATTTAGCAAGTAAATCGCGAATGATATCTATCAGCTCTTGACCAGGCTTCAGGATAGCATTAACGGGGTGCTTCCGTGACGAATAATCCTTTCCATTCTTGCATGCACTTGGATGCCCAGTGCTTGGTGGAACCACATCATTGAATGTATCAGCTTTCGTAGATTGGACCAACCCTTGTTGTAGCTGGGATAGTTTTTGTAGCAATTCCGACCGACATTTATTGCTGTTATCGACATCCCTTTTGTGGGTGTGAATATCGAGATGGCTTGATGCTATTTGGCTCAATATATTGCACTGCCGAGAGATGTTTGGGTGCATACCCTCGTCTGCCGAGGTCCAGAGTATATTGCGACCAGTGTCGTCATCCGCCGGTGGTGTTTTGAGGCCTCCAAGGATATGAAGCGGGTTGGATGGATAGGTTGGAAGGTCGGTGGAGTGAGAGGACTGTGCGTTTGCTTGAAGCAAATCGGACCAAAGCGTATTGTCGGAAGTGGCGGATGATGAAGGGATTTCATTAGAGAAGTCCATAGCCGCAGATCCAGTATCAAAGAATGAATTGACATCCGACATATCCATACTATCGCCAGCATTTTCAACTTCCGAATTGCAGAGCATGTCTGAGAGAAATGACGGAGGAGAGGTCACTTCCCCCACGTTGCTGCTAGTCGGGCAGTGTCCACTTGTGCTCTTGGAGCTCAGTGGGGTTCGTGATTGATCGGCAGCATCGTGCAAGCGGGCCGTTCCATCGAGATCAAAGTGATCACCAGGGACCGTTGGGCGAGCCTTCTTTGGCCGTCCTGACTTCAGTGGTGGACTATACGTGCAGACGCAGCCGTCTTGGATACAACGACTGCATTTTGAAGTGGAGATCTCCCGCAAGCACCGTAATTTCCGATCATGACATCGATCGCAGGCTATTCGTTTGTGGAGCGGTGCTGCCCATTGAGAGGTATCCATTTTCAGTTGAAGATCGAGGATGGGACGGATTTCGGATTTCGGATTTCGATATGCACGAGCTTTGAGGATGCAGGATAGGTCATCCTAAAGCAGATCCAACAGGCCAGTACTTATTACATTGCAAGACGGCTTGAAGTGATACTTCTTAGTGCAACTCATTGACTGTCATCATCAGGCTACCTGTATTGTATCCAATGGATTTGGGGAGCTTTTGGCCCCCAATGGGGGCCGCTGCTAAGCATCTTCCTCAGGGTCCATATGGGCTCGACCTAGGTATCCATATTCTATTTCCAGCATTGGGATTGGTTGTATGAGTACGGAGTATATATTCTCACATAAGATCATGCATCCCTTCTCCTTATCGGAAGTTAGCTAAATACCGACGAAGACTCCCAAGGTTTGCCTAAAAGGCTTATCTGCAGGTGAGGACCTAGGTGCCTCTGGACACATGTTATAGGAAGTAATAATGGAAATGATATGACCAGGGAAGGCCAAGCCTAAGGATATTGATTGGTTGATGTCCAGAAGAAACGCGTCAGGTTGTCTGTGATAGACAGAAATACCGCCTTCCTGAGACCATCTTCCTATCCGAGACAGTGAGCCCACCTTTTCACCGATCCTCCCACCACCTACCAACTTCCCGGTTTAATCTACTTGCCATAGAATCTCTTCATGCGTGCATACAATCAGTTCTCACAACCAATAACAAGCGTTGAAGCCATCTGCTGCCCCCAAATCCTGAGGCCACGTTGACCGGGCCGAGATTCAGCATGATCGGATGAGAACGGGCGTAAGCCCTAAGATAGGGGCAGAGTCGTAACAAGCATGTGGCTGTGAGATCCCGCCGAACCTGGTATCTTGTTAAAATGAACGGCCACAAAGAAAACCCGCCGAGAGGATCGAGCCGCACAATGGACCCCCGCAAAAGCCGATTCGTGCTTGAGAAGAGATAGAAAATAAAAAGGAAATATGTATGGTCGTGCTCGGTCAATATGCTCAAGCAATATTGTATACACATTGCAATAGGATGTTTAGGTTCACAGTGATACTACTATTGGCGCAATTGGCCATCGCCTTAGCGCAATCTTCCAGTATGTGATGACCCCCAAGGCTAATGATTCCGCCATGCTAACCTGGCCTCGCTTTGAAACATATAGATGTTGGACTGGATGTGAATAAATGGATTAAGTCTAAGCACGACGCAGAAACGTGGATTGACCGAATGAATGTGACCGAGAAGGTTGCAATTGTTACGGGCTCCTTGACTGGGACATGCATGGCCTACGTTGCGCCCGTGGAAAGCGTGGAATTTGGCGGACTTTGTATTCACGATGGACCTGCTGCGATCCGGCTTGCCAGCTTGGCCAGTGTTTTCCCATCTGGACTCACCATGGCGGCGACCTGGGATAAGGAGATGATTTACCAGCGAGGGCGTGCGATGGGTGCCGAGTTCCGAGGAAAAGGTGCACATGTTATGCTTGGGTAGGTGATCAGACCCAACCCCTGGCGAAGGTGCCAGGGCTAACGAATGTTACAGTCCAGTTGGCGGCCCATTGGGTCGCAGTGCTCTTGGTGGTCGAAATTGGGAAGGCTTCTCTCCAGACCCCTACCTAACTGGTGTGGCTATGGACCACACGATCCGTGGGGTGCAGAGTCAGGGGGTTCAAGCCAATGCGAAGCACATCATCGGCAACGAACAAGAAACTCAACGGAAAGCGACCGAGATAGATGGCCAGATGGTTGCCGCAGTCTCTTCCGTCATCGACGACCGAACCATGCACGAGCTGTATCTGTGGCCATTTGCGGATGCTGTTCATGCAGGCGTTGCGAGTGTGACTTGCGCCTATAATCGAGTCAACGGTACATACAGCTGTCAAAACAAACAGGTCTTGAACAATCTCTTAAAGAAAGAGCTAGGGTTTGAAGGCTGGGTCATGTCCGACTACATGGGCGCCATGTCTGGCGTTGACTCGGCCATGGCCGGAATGGATATGAACCAGCCAGGGCCAATTTCGGGGACCCAGTTGAACGAGACATACTGGGGATCTAACCTGGTGACCGCGGTGCAAAACGGATCAGTCCCAGAGACGCGCCTCAACGATATGGTTCAGCGTATCTTGACTCCGTATTTGTATTTTGGCCAAAACAATGCCAGTTATCCGAGCATCGATCCATCGTCAGAGCTGCTCACGCGCGAGAATTTTGGCGTCCTAACAGGTATGCACCTATTAAGCCCTGGCACAGCTACTCCTGCTGGACGCGATGTTCGAGGCAATCACTCGGCATTGATCCGCGCCATGGGTTCCGCGGGGACAGTGTTATTGAAGAATGTCAACAACACTCTTCCCTTGAAATCGCCTCGCAATATCGGTGTGTTTGGCGAGGATGCAGCCGATATAACCACCGGCGCTCTTAATCCTAACGCTGGGTACGACGTCGGAACCCTCATCGTCGGGGGTGGATCTGGGGGCGGCCGCACCAGTTCTATGGTTCCCCCACTGGAGGCAATCAAAACTCGGGCTAGAAAGATCGGGGCGCAGATTCAGTACATCACCAATACCACAGTCCTCACCAGTGGCGGACAGACCACACTTTACCCTTGGCCCGAAGTATGCCTCGTGTTCTTGAAAACTTGGGAAACTGAAGGGATCGATCGAACGGACCTTGAGGCCGACGGCAACTCCACTCAGCTGGTGGAAGCTGTCGCGAATCTATGTCCCAAACGTACCATCGTGATTACCCATTCCGGGTGCCCGAATGTGATGCCATGGGTATCTAATCCTAACGTCGTGGCTATCCTTGCAGCCCATTACCCTGGTGAGGAGAGTGGCAACTCGATCGCCGACGTACTTTGGGGAGATGTCAACCCGTCAGGCCGACTGCCATATACAATCGCCAAGAATGCTACAGATTACAATGGCCCCATTGTGAATGTCACTGGACCTGATGCGACCGAAGAATGGGCTTGGCAAAGTAACTTCACCGAGGGTCTCTTCATTGACTACCGTCACTTCGATAGTCAGGAGATTACTCCATTATATGAGTTTGGTTACGGACTCAGCTATACCACTTTCGCTCTGGTATCTCCAATTTCTCTCACAGTGGCTCCCTCCGCTAGCCACGGCAATATATCGACTACTCCTCCTGTGGCCGGTAATTCTACACTGGCCTTGGGAGGCAATCCGAACCTGTGGAAGACGCTAGTGAATGCTTCAACATATGTCAAGAATACCGGTTCTCGGGGAGGAGCAGCCGTCGTACAGCTGTACATCTCCTTGTCGCGTG